AAAAAAAMCTCCTCTCCATATTTACTTGTGATTTCCACACTTGCAGCATATTTCATCATACATTTACCCCTAAAATATGTATTAGATGTAAATGATGAAGAGATCTGCCATTGAAAAGCGAGTCAGTGTGACACTCTGTTAGTGTCGCTGACCCTGACTTGTCCTGGTGGGGTGCCGTTGTCCCTCTGTGTCCTAATGATGACTAATAACTGTGGGAATAAAAATCAAAGGCACATCCAAACAGTTTGAACTCTCGCTGCAATAAAACATTACAGTTTGAAGTAACTTTTGAGGTCAAAAGAACCCATGTAATATTTATGTAAGTGTAATAAYTTATTTTGATTAAAGATATTTCTGCATGTCTTTACAGTGGGCAAAATTTACCGATATTTGCTTTCAGGCTTTGTATAAAAATACAGAAACAGAAACTGATCAAAGTTGAAAGATATGAGCTCTGAACATCTCTAAAGAATACAGAATATCATCAGGATTTCAATGTCTATTTGMTTGATTCAGCTTAATTCATAGAATAAAACACACAAAAATAAGTGAGCTTAATTGGAAGAGAAAGCCTGTGCTGTGCGCTGCATTGGTGCCAAATCCAGTCTTACTGAAGAGAAAAACATGTAAATGTGCCAGTTAGGATGATGTGTTACAATTGCTTGTGTAATTCCTAATTTGGTTTTTTGAACCTGTAGTTTTTTTTTKTTTTTTTTTTTTTATTTTTACCTTCAAGCATCTTTAGTGAGCAACGTGAACTAAAGAAACAAAGCACTGTGCCACTAAATCCACTCCAGGCACTTTTCCCCCACATTGCAGAGAGTCATAGGAAAATGTTTAATGGTAATAATATGTTTTTTCTCTACTGATTCTATTAATCCTTGATTTAATAATTGATCATTTATTTTGTTGTAATACTAACAAGTATAAATTGAATGACCAAACCAACATAAGTTTTCTATTCTGTAAAAAATAAAATAAYCATGCTAGTCTTTTTTTTCTTGAGCTAATGAGATTATTGTTGTGGAGAATAAGTGTATTACACTCAGTTTCATCATTTTGTATGATCTGTAACAGTAACATGTTGATCGATGACTGATGGCACTTGACGTGATGTCGAGTGCCAACATAAATATTCTAATTTCTGATAATATAAAACAGGATTGTTTAAAAAAAGAAATTATCAAGAAAAATAACTTTTTAAAGTCAATGAAAACAATGTGATTATCTGAGATAGTGAACATCCCAAGATAACATTACAGTGTAGTAAATTCTAAGCATGTTCTCGTTTGACGTTTGTGCATTGACAATGCAAAAGTTTTACAGTATTTCACACGAGAGGTGTCTTTTATATTAAAAATGCATACTTAGTTGAAGAACACTTTCATCTCGCTGAAGTGTTCGAAGGAGATTATTTTTGTTAGCAGTTGATGGACACAATTAATTTTATTGTTTTTTTTTCAATATATTTTCTTTTTCATGCTCTTATGTA